ATGAGCATTAATTGTAGATACAAAATGAATATCTGTAATATGTATATATATATGTATATCTATAATATGTATAGCAACCACACTGTGAGGAAACCCTGTAAGATGAAAAGACATCTTTTTATTCCACTGATATTCCCAAGCACCCAGTCTGTGTTTCCATGCTGGTTTCAAAATCTTCTGTTAGAGCAGGCCATGGCATGGATGGATGGATAGGATTCCTTCCTTGTGCTTTTTCCTCCAGTTTGAGAAATATTCATTTGCGCCTAATTCATCTTAAAGGACTGTTGAGCTTTAGTTTGCTCTTTTGATTGTAAATTAGCTCAAAATTACTGACTTACTAGTTGCCCACCTTTTCTTTGGTCTATGAATTTCTATCTTCTCTTGGACCTTCTTCATGAAGTTTTGCACTATCAGGAAAAAAATATGTTCCTTATCTTACCTCTGACTCCTCAAGAGAGTTGGTCCCTTTTATATGAAGCACTGATGTTGGATAAAATTTCAAGCATCATTCATGCCTTAACTCTGCAATTCAGATTGGTTTTCGCTGCAGAAAAGTCTTAGTTTGGAGAATTTTTGCCTTTTTTCACCTTAAAAATAACACGTTTCCTTCTGCATTTCTGCAATTTATGAAGGAGACTGGTGGAACAGGCCCATAGCTCATTTTGATATTGCATCCTTCATAAATAGTGATGAATTTATGATCAATATAAAGAGATCTCTTGGGAAGGGAAGTTGCTTAAAATCAATTCTAAGGATGGACTTTATTTGGTGAGAATCTTCTTAATTTAGTAACTCAGGAAGAAATTTGACTGATGTACTAAGTAGATAGAGGGTATGTTTTGAGATATTTTAGGTCTCATTGTTGATTTCCCAGAGTAGCTAAGTTGTAGTTTTCTGGTTTGGTTTGTTTGGGTCACCTGCATGCTGTTGTCATAAATTTATTGCATATTATTTAGTTAACTAAGCAAACTTGTAGACAGAGGTTTGAATTCATAAAGTAAAATAAATGGGAGATGAACAAAGCTTGGAAACCCCCAAGTTTATCGAAATCATTGGTTCTTATTTAGGAGAAAGTAAATTATGATTTGAAAAGTGAGCGTAGTCTTATATTTGTACTTATAGCACTTCCTGACATTATGGCAGTCTTAGAAGGATCATATGACATTGTTTATTATGTTATTCCCCCTCCAATATTAAATTCTATCTCTAGGATTATGGAGTATTTTTCATCTGTCTTCAGTAATGTTTTATGTGAATGAGAGAATTTTAAGTGAATAGAAGTATTCCACAGATATGTCATTTTTCCTACTGAAAACTGTTTTTCTTCAATTTTTTCAATTTTTATACTTACAATTTCACAGATTGAAAAATATTTATTATAGGTTACAGGTAGGATCTGTTTGACTCTGCAATTCAAGGAATATTTGTATTAAAGGATAATTGGACTAATGAAAGTGAGAAAGATACATTCTATTTAAAGAAATTGATTTAGCTTCAAAACATATTCAAGAGATAGGAAAGCATGGTGGTTTAGTTCTGCTGTTTTCATAGTAATTTTATATTTTAAACAATAAAGAATATTAAGGCTTATTATGACTGTTACCAAAGACAGCGCACGAGGTTTACTTGAATGCATTATTTTTAGCTACTCTGTATTTTAAGGCCGAGTGATACTTGTAAGTAACATAAAAATTATTCACATGAAAAAAAGTATTTTTTTTATGCTGGAAGAAACTCAGAGTCATTGCAAGACATCTAATTAGTATTCATGGCATAAAAGGAAGTTATTTTCAGGGTAAAGGAATTTGTGAAAAGATAATTGGTTAGACCAACATTCTCATTAACCTAACTTGCATTAAATATGCTATTTTGAATTGTAGTTATTCTTTTCCATTTGAAAGGCATGCTTTGTTAACCTATTTAAAGAGCCTAATTAAACTACAGTTTAAGTCATACTCTTTAATTCAGCAATACAATATCAAACTGCAGATCTGCGATTACCAACTTTGTGAGTGCGGAGAATCATAAAGCAGTTCTTGATTCCAGTGGATTTTCCTGATGAAGTAGGTTGGTTTAGCTGCTTTATATGTGGTCATTCTGAGATACTGAAAGCATTTGACTAATCCTTTAGTTTAATTTTACTCCTTTATAAGAGCAGAGAAAACTCTTATTTCTTCTGTGGTGCAACATGAGAAATAATTAAAGCAGTCTTGGGGTTATTGGAAGAAAGTACTTATGCCTTTGTTCTAATAGTAGGAAGACTTCGAGGGTAATTTTGTTTAATTATTTTTCAGTAGAACTTCTTCACATGTGTAACTAAATAGAGCCTTTAAAATGTGAGCTGTTAAAATGTAAATTAATTTGCACATTCTAGTACACATTTTAAAATCATGAGACTGAATTTGTATTTCTTTGATTTTCAGCATTACTTACCACATATTAGCAGTATTCTAGATATTTTGAAAAGGGGGTTTATTTCCTCTTGTGCTGTGTGCAATGAAGAGGAAGGTACCTTTGTTAGCAGTGAGATGACTGTGAGTGCTCAAGTTAAGTATTTGTATCTGCAGATAGAGACATAAAGATACAGGGTCTAATTTTTCAACACTGCTGAGCATACCTAGCCATCTTGGAACCTGGTATTTGTATTGTATGAACTAAACATTTGTAAAATTAGCCACCTTGTTAGATATCTAAATGTTAATTTCAATGCTTAATTTTCATTATTTGCACTTGTACTGTTTGACACTGGTTGTTTTCAAAATAGTAGTGGCTGTAGACATTGAATGTAAACCAAAACCTAGCTGATCAGGCAAGGTTGTATGTCAGCACAGTAATGCTGAACCATGGTGGATAAAAGTAATGAAAACAGAGAAATGCAACTTCAAGCTGAACATGGTAATGATCTTAAATATCTCTACAAATATTCAGCTGAGAATGTCACTTTCTTGCTGTAATGATTCAGAAGATTACAACAGTGGACATGCGAGTCAGACAGTGTGATTAGTATATGAGTACCTTTGCATACCCAGTGACCAGACACAAAATGTGATGAAGTAGAAATTTAGTTTAGATACTAAAAAAAAAAAAAAAAATCCATGGCCAATCAATTTTAAATTCTGGCTGGGAGATGGTTAGATCTCCCTTTTCTTATTATTTGGCAAAGAAATATGCTAATTACTGTGCCATTTTGCTGCTTATTCATTTTGTTTACAAAACAGGAGTTAGCTAATGCTTGCACTATTGAGCGAATTGCTGAAAGGCTGAGCTTCCCTACATTCTGGGACAGGCAGACAATGGCAAAGAAGCCAGTTGTGGAGACAGCACATTTTATGTTTGGATTTTGTCTGCAAGATTAAGGGCATGATTCGGGAACTGTTAAAGGTATAAATGGCAGGATATTGAGAGCCAAATAGAAGCTAAATGCTCACTTGTTGATAAAGCCATTGAAAACTTCCTCTAGCACATACATTCTCTAATAGAGATTAGGAAAGAATAAGTTGTTGCTTCTAAACAAGCTGCTGGAATAAATCATAGTGATTTACATGTGATCACAGAAGGGGTAAGGTTGGAAGGGACCACAGTGGGCTATCTGGTCCAACTTCCCTGTTCAAGCAGGGTCATCCCAGAGCACATGGCACAAGATTGCATCTGGACATGTTGAATATCTCCAGTGAGGAAGACTCCACAACCTCTCTGGGCAATCTGTTCCAGTGCTCAGTCACCCACACAGGAAAGAAGTTCTTCCTCAGGTTCAGGTGGAACTTCCTGTGCATCAGTTTCTGCCTGTTGTTTCTTGTCCTATTGCTTGGCATCACTGAGAAGAGCCGAGCTCCATCCTCTTGTCACCCTCCCTTCAGATACTTATAGACATTGATGAGGTCCCTCTCAGTCATGTCTTCTTGAGGCTGAACAGGCCCAGCTACCTCAGCCTTTCCTCATAAGAGAGACCCTTGACCAACTTAGTAACTCTGAATTCTCAGGATCAAATTTCATCTCTTTCACGAAATATTTCAACGTGTTTTTTTTCTGACAGAGCTCCTCAAACAGCTATTTGTTTTTAAACTGCACAGTCTAAGATGACACATCCCATACTTTGCATCAGTGATGTCTTTGCTTTCTGTTTCTCTAGACCTTTGGCCATCATCTTGCAACCTGAATCTTTCATGTTTCCTCTGTCACAGACCATACTGATTTTTTTGAGTTACTGGAATTCTTGTATGTTTTTTTCAGTAAATAATTTATAGGACTGGAACTGTCTTTTGCAACACAGCATGGTACTGCAATAAAAATATCACATTTAAGAGAAAATGATAATTGAACAACCCTTATAGTAAGAGGAAGTTCCTGATGGCTTGAAGGAATGCTGTAGGTTAGAAGATCCTGTAACTAAGGTTATATGTGTAACTTAATTAGTCCTATTTAAGGGTTTCTTTTAATTCAGTCCCTCTTGTATATGAATTGGAATGTGGGGTTCAGTGCCTTTTTTTTGATGATGTGCTGGAGTAGGGACTAGTTCAAGGAAGAGAGAGAATTTAGCTACCAGACAACAAGAAGTCTTTATTTGGCTTGTACAAAGCGATTTCATAAAATAATTATAATCCATTTTAAGAAATATTTGCATGTCGGTAAGAGAAGGTCTACAGCACTTTCAAAGCTGTTCATAAGAAATTAACTCTGTGAATACTGTATGTATTCTTAGTATGTTGTCCAAATTGGATTTTTGAGTGAAAATCTTGCTTGCTGACATGGCACTTAGCACCTGCTCATTCAGTTTTTAATTTGTTGCCCCTTTTTCAGTACCGTTTTGCAAATAAGTGATTAAAATTTCTATAGAACTTTGACATAAATAAGTTTAGTATTGTGAATGCAAGCAGCATTAATATTAACTGCAAATTTGTTGAAGAAAGATTTATTTATTGACTTTATTTCTTCAGGTTGGAAACTTCAGAGAAAACTTGTTAATTTTTTTTAAATAATTTTTTTTTATTTCTTTTCTTTAGGAGATTCCTTTACACAGTTTCGATTTGCTGATGAGAAAGAATGGGATAAAGAAAGCATAAGCCATAAGCAGGTAACAGAATTATCATTCAAATGATTTTATATAGATAATCACCTAGGACAGAATATCTAGGCAGTTGTGCTTTCAGCAACAAACTGTTAATACAATAATAGCACTCTTTATTGTGTATATTTTTATTAACTTTTCCCTGATGCTGGAGGCTACTGGGCCTTGTCCTTTTTTTTTCTGCTGAAGACTAATCAAAGCATCAGGCTAGGTTTTTAGGTGATGCTGGGAGGAAAAAACAAGAAATCTCTCCAGTGAAGAGAAAATAAGAAACTGTCACTTTGCTTTACTGACATAGCAGGTCAGCCTTCTTTTTTCATCTGTATTCAAGAGAAAAGAGTTTAGTAAAATGACTGTAACAAAACCCTTATGAGTCTCTTCATATATTGAACAATGAAACGTATTTTAGTTCCTTCAAATTTACAGTTCTTATCCTGTGGTTGAAACTTCATGTCCTAAATAATTAGGGCACCAGCTAGATTATTCGTATGTGAATTTTTTATGCTTAAATAAAAAGGAGCACATCAATAGAAGTCTCCTGTTTTATATATCAGGATACTTGAAAGTGTCCCTGTCTCTGCAGCTGTCTTCCTCATGTAAGTCACCTGAGTTATTGCAAGATAAATGCTTTTGTCTTCCAGGCTTTTCTTAAAATTGCTGTGAAACTTTGCTTAAGTGTGTCTTGAAACATGCATATGTATTCAAATTTTAAAGATTTGCTATTTCTTTTCTAAAATATTACAATATTCTAAAATATTACAATATTCTAAAATATTACATTAATTATACCCTGGGAAGTGATATTTAAAGGTACTTTAGGGTTGCAAAGTCAAATTAAAGTGAGGAAATAAAACCAAATGCAGCATTTGTTTAAACCACCACCTGTCTTTCAATGACTGTATTTTTTCTTATCAGTTCTTCTGCTTCTAGTGTGCAGGATGTTGTCAGTAACCAGAATATTAATTTCTTTTTCATTTCCTCATATTCTTGTCATTATAGCATTTAGGTGATTTGAACACATTAATTCCTGAATGGCTAAAGCCATTGTGAGAAGAGTGAAATTGCATGTTGACAGTGGTTTTCACAAATATTCTTCTAACTGCCAGTGATGAGACCGCACAGTTCTGGAGCTGGTCCCATGCTCTTACTCATTGCAGAGTGTGCTGTGGTGGGCACGTTCTTCTGCCTCTGTCCCTAGGAAACTGTAGTAATTCATTCTGCCCCATCCAAAGTCGTTATTTCAAACTGTTTCCTGTCTTTCACTGTCCTTATGTCACTTTGAAATAGTTTACTGCACTAGTCACAATTACCCTTCCTTTGAGTTCTTATTTTAGTCCAGAATCCAGTCCCAAATGGTTTGATAATATTATCTAATTTTTCACATTGTCTTTGGTCTTTAACCTGGTATCTCCTTTTGTTTCTGACCCATCTTTTTTTTCCCTGAAAACCAAATCCAAGTCTAATTTTCACCCTACATCATTCATACCGTTTGCCAAATTCCTGGTCTTTCTAATTCTTTGCCTTCTATACATTATGTACAGGATTAGAGAATTGTAAACTGAAGTGAATTTATTATGAGGGAACAAAATAAAGAGAAAAGATATAAAAATAGTTGCAGAATGACTAGATATTTCTCATTCCCTACTGTTTGTAGAAAGCAATGGCAAAGCATCGGTTTCAAATGACGAATGGAAATGTAACAGTGACATCAACAATAAAAAAAATTCATTTTATTAAGAATACTATCATTCATTGCTACAAAAAGTATGTTTGGGTTTTCTCCATTGTATATTGATAAAATACAATAAAAACATTTCAGAACATAGTCTGCAATTGAAAGATCAAACAGGTAATAGTAATTTGGATTTTTCAGTAAAAAATAGCAATTCCAGCGACAAAGTATGCCTCTGTTTATTTTTTTGAACAAATAACTACATGTGCCATGAGGTGTTCATAATTTATTAAATACTGCTTTGATTTCTTTGCTTTTTATTACAACACCACTTTTAGTGAAGTCTCTACTTGAATATCAAATTCCTTCTTCTATTATGTTGTTTTTCCAAATTCCTCTTTTCCTTCATTCTCAACTCTTCTGTATCTCTAATTTTAACCTTCATTTGCAATGTTCATTCTTGTTAATATTTTTGCAAGTTACATAGCTCTTCTCAAATGCACTTAAATGTTATTCAGTGACACTTCACTTTTTACAATTTTTTGTGTTACTAGATTCATACAATTTCCTTGTCTTTTGTAACTGTGCAGAAGCCATATTTGATCTTCAATATCTGTCAAAATAACTGGGTTTTCTGAAGATCTGATTCATTGCTGGGCAACAAGGCTTGCTTGCTGAAGACTTTGTGAGGTTACTTACACCAGTGAATCATCTTTGATGGTGATCACCAATGCATTGTAAAATAAAGTTGTTGGTAGAGGAGAAAAATTCTAACCATCAGATATTTGTTTGATCCTTTCACTCTTATTACTGGATACCAGAACCAGAATTTGGATAAAAGAAACTGTTAAATCAACTACATTGCTTCTTTTTTTAATTTATTTTAATTTTGCAAGTATACTGTCAGAACACACACTGTCTGATTTATTTTTGCTAGGCGTGCAAATGTCAAAAACCATCCTATTGACTGGCTTTTGGAAGCAGTGTGAATTTCTTTGACAACTCTCTTATGATATGGCACAAAACACTCTCTCCTAATTTATGAGTATTTGGACTTCTAAATGTCTGTGATGAGAAGGACAAGATTTTATCCCTTTAAGTGAGATTTGGAAGCTACTTCTCTGCTTCCATGAAAAAGAGAGTATAGACTGAACCTAAGCATTTTGTTGTCAGATTTTAAAATACGTGATGGATATCAAATTATTTTTTCATCAACAGTGAATGCGCTCAGAATGTTCTTCTATACTGTGAGCTTGAAAGCTGTTTAAGATTACTGAAGTCTGGGTTGTTATGTAAAAATGTCAAATATTGCTGGTTCATTTTGTGTAAATCTGTTTTTAAAAAGGGGTCAAGAGAAAATGGAGCTTCAGTAACTGTCACAGTAATAAGTTGTAATTTAGCAGCAGTATAATTGAATATAATTTTAGAAGTGTTTGTAACTATATACTTTGTTGCTTTTGTAAGTATCAAAACATTTTTAAAAATGTGGAACTATAAAAAGGCCCCTGTTTAGCCATTAAAAACAGTATAGCTACACAGGAGCTATGGGTTGATTGCTTAGAAAATAGTAGCAACTCACTAAAGAATGTCATTTCAAACCACATGAAAGCTTCACAGTTTAAAACATGTTTCAGTTGGAAAAGCTTCTTATGACATTGTCATAAGAATGACTGAACTATTCTGAACTATTTCCGATTTTAGACTTTCAAGGCATTGTCTAAGGAGTATTTAGTTTACAGCTTGTTTTTTAGCAGTAAGTTATTATTTACAGTGTAAGTGTTTATATGGTAATTTAGCCAAACTGCTCCATATAAGTGTAATTTAAACTATTAATTTGTGTATTTCATTAGATTGTTTTCCAGGTTCCTCAAATAAGTGGAACAAGGGAATGTAATAGATTAAAATTATTAGATTTTTTTGTTTGTGTTCTTTTTGTGTTTGGGTTTTTTTATTCACAAGTATACTGTATGTTAAATTATATTTCAGTTCTCTGCACTTTCTGTTGACTGCCAGTCTTTGGTCCAGGCCCTTCAGGAATTGCCTCTACATCTGAAATTGAATGTAGCTGCTGACCTTGTACAGGTAATGCTGTGAATTAACATTAGGAAATGCAAATATTTTAAGAGAAAAATCTATGCAAGAATGATTAGTCTTCAAACGTAAGTACAGTGTATTATGTAAGTAAATATATTCTGTTAGACTGGCATGTCAAGTGGCATGTAATGCAGGATACCCCTCTATCAGCACATTTTTTGTGCTTACTTGGCTTTAAACAAAATGGTTGGATGTGCAGCATATTAGATTTGAAGTCAGGTATCAGAGTGTTTGACGTTAAATGATTGCATTATTTTTGTATTTTTTTCTTTTGTTAGCAGCTGGTTTTAGTTGCACCAAAATTTTGAAAGTGTTTTCACATTCTTTCCTGTTAATTACTTTAATTGTGATTTAATGTTCTGCATAACTAATATCAACAAACATGTTTTTTTACATGAATTGGTGTTACATCAGTGTTAGAACAGGTAGAACTCTCAATCATACTGGTGAAGAAAATATTATTTATGCTCCAGTGGCAGGGGGAAGCAACAATATTATTAAAAAATATTTCTTCAGATTATGAAAAAGAAAATATTAATGTAAGCGCAAAAGAGCCAATGAGAGTTAAACATAAAAACAAAATTCTTAAGATCCATCTGCTCAAGCAAGGAAAAACGTGACCCTTATAGAAGGGTCTGTTTGGGGTTGCATGAAGTGCTTCTGCAGCTGACACTATGCTCTTTGTTAAAGCAGCTCAAGGTATGTCTGCAGATGTGATGGCTAAGGGAATCTGCAAATAAATGTTACTTTCACATACAGTTTTCTTTTTAGGAGTTCTAGTCATGGTCTCTAACTTTTGTCAGGGTTATAAACTGTTTGTTATGGCATTTAATCTTTGTCTTGTCATTCTGACCAGGGATGTGGTCATCAGTTATGCTGCAGTGTTATCAACACTAGGGCATCCTGATAAAAGCTGAATCTGTTACACAGTTAAATAATGAGTTGCCATTTCTGGTTTCACTGTTTGACAATGTTTTACAGTTTAGTTTCATTTTTCAAAATATATGGCTATATACTATAACATTGGCTAATTGATTTTCAGCAACCTGTAGTATGGTTTTGTTTAAGACTAGAATTTTGGAGGGATGGCCTAACATGGGATGATGTTTCTAGCCAAATTCTGACTCTAGTCATTCCAAAATTCAGAATACTGATGGGATTTCATTACAGAAGAATTAAGGAAAAGTAATTTTCCAGGAAGTGCAAAGCATTTAACGCTGTCCCGCACTACATCTTTGTCTCTAAACTGGAGAGACATGGATTTTGGCTGGATGGTCATACACAAAGAGTTGTGGTCAACAGCTCATGTCCAAGTGGAGATCAGTGATAAATGGTGTTCCTCAGGGGTCACTGTTGGGACCAGCACTGTTTAACATCTTTGTCAGTGACACACACAATGGGACCAAGCGAACCCTCAGCAAGTTTGCTGGTGACACCAAGATGTGTGATGTGGTCAACACGCTGGAGGGAAGGGATGGGCCATCCAGAGGGATCTTGACAGGCTTGAGGGGTGGGTCTGTGAACCTCATGAAATTCAACAAGGCCAAGTGCAAGGTCCTGCTCCTGGGTCAGGGCAGTCTCAAACATGGATACAAGCTGGGCAGAGAATGGATTGAGACCAGCCCCAAGGAGAAGGACTTGGGGGTGTTTGTGGACAAGAAACTCAACATGACTCTGCAATGCACACCATGTTTCAAAGGAGACCTGACCAGCAGGTTGAGGGAGCTGATTCTCCCTCTCTGCTTTGCTCTTATGAGACCCCACCTGGAGTACTGCATCCAGCTCTGGGGCCCCCAGCAGGGAAAGACATGGATCTGTTAGAGTGAGTCCAGAGGGGGCCACTAAATTGATCACAGGGCTGGAGCCTGAATACAGGCTAAGAGAGTTGGGACTGTTCAGCCTGGAGAAGAAAAAGCTGTGGGAAGACCTTATAGCAGCCTTCCAGTACCTTTAGCGGGCCTACTAAATAGCTGGAGAGAGACTTTTCAAAAAGACATGTATGGATAGGACAAGGGAAATGGCTTTAAGCTGAAGGAGGGTAGGTTTAGATTAGATATTAGGAAGAAGTTCTTTACTGTCACAGTGGTGAGACACTGGAACAGCTTTCTCCAAGAAGCTGTGTTCTCCCCATCCCTGGAAGTGTTCAGGACCAGGTTGGATGGGGCTTTGAGCAACCTGGTCTAGTAGAAGGTATCCCTGCCCATGTCAAGGGTGTTGGAACGAGAGGATCTTTAAGGTCCTTTCCAAACCAAACTATTTGATGATTCTATGAGTATTTGTGAAACAATGGAATTTGCTGATTTAGCATACCATCTCATATTCTGTAATAAGGGATAAAAGGAGTTTGTATTTTGCATTTGCTTCTGTAAAAGTATCATCCAGATAACTTTACTTTCACTTCTGAATTGAATTCTGCTCAAGTTCGCTGTACCTTCTGAAGTGATCAAATATAGGAAGTATGAATTACAATCCAAATTAGACAGAATAATAAAATTAGATAATAATCATTATAAAGACTCAAGTCCTTTCTTATACTCTTAGGCGTCAACACCTGTAGAGCTCCCACAGATGAAATCTAAAATTTTTGAAGATGTCAAGAGAAGAGATCAGCTGTTCCGACAGTCTCCAGCTCAAAGTGACACCGTATTGGTCTCCCCTCCTGTTGGTAATTCTGTTGCTACATCAGAGCCTGGAAGTGAAAACGGCTCTAAGGCAAATGCAAGAGAACCATTTCAGAGAATCCACCCACTATCAAAGCAAGAGACTGACCATTTGGATGAAGAACTGGATCTTCTCCTGAATCTAGAGGCTCCCATGAGTACAGGAAACAGACCTGTGTCAGACACATTATCCTACAACATATCAACTGAGAAAGATTTGAAAATGGAATGTAAGGAAAGTGGTAAGTTTTCTCCCCAGCGTGCTCTTATTTAATTTCCACTGCTCTCTGTTCCGGAATTCTTGATTAGCCACTCAACAGTACTGCTGTCATCATCTCGTTCATACTGCATTTCATTTATCTGGTGCTGTGTTCTGACCCTTTTGTTCATTTTCAGTTTTAAATCCTCATGAACTAAAGTTTCGCCATTGTCAGTACACTTTAAGCATTAAAAGAAATTCTTCTGCAAAACAGCATTGGGCTTATGATTCAGCAAAATTTTAAATTAAAAAAAATAAGTAGTGTACTGCTAGAGAATTTTATTGTAACAATATCAGTCCTTAGTTCACTGTACTAATAGTATACAGAAGAATTGACAGTTATTTCCAATGGCTTGTCATAAATGCTATTTTCAAACTTTTCTAGCATTGATTTTATAAAAGTAAGTTTAGCATGGAAACTAATTTTGGAATATGATTTGCTGTTCTTCAAGAAAGAGAGATTGTGTTTAAATGCAGTCAGTTGTGTATTAAAAAGCAAAATGACCCAGGAAAAAAAGCTGGTATAGAATTGTTTCCAGATTATCAAGCCTGTTCTTTTTGCTTTTCTAGACCCTTTGAAAGTAGATATGCCTGAAGAGAAGAGTACATCATCACAGCAACAGCAAAGTACATCTAAAGATGTTACTGAGGAAGAGCTTGAAGATTGGCTGGACAGCATGATCTCCTGAAGCTCAAATTTCCTCATGTGAATAATTGAATATAGCAAACATTACATAAAAAGTTGAACTTCTCTTTATCTTTTTATTTCCTTTCTCTGTTTCACCTTGTTCAGTGTACCAGTATGCTGGCTCCTAAAATTTTGTGCAACCAAAATTAATTTAGGTGGGATTGAAAATTGTCGAAGACTAATAACATTATTAGAAAGGTCTAAAATTTGTGATGAAATTGGAATTTTCTTTGCTAAAGAAGCAGGCTAAGAGAACAGTTATTGCAGCTTGTACTTGCTCTATGTAGTCCTTAAAATAAAGCCATGACTGAACAGTGAATACATGTGTTTTTAGTCACCATTCTCACACAACTCCATATTGTAGAAAAATGGCAAAGATGACAGCAACGGTAATATTTGGTTTATAATACTTTATTGCAGTGGGCACTTTTATTAGAAGAAAAAAGAATGCATAATCCTAACAACTTCTACTTGCAGGTGACTGTAGAGCATTGTTTTATTTTGGCCTAAGATTTAAACTGTGTTCATTTTGATACAGTGTTATGTCTTTTAACAGCAGCATCTAATAAGCTGTTATTGAAGGTAGTATATTAACTAACTTCAAGTGTAATTTGATACAGAAAGACAGAAAAGCAATACAGTTAATGGGTTTGTTCATCTAGAACATTAACATAAATAAAAAGTTTGCATAGCTATGTCTACAGAGGTTTTAAGGCACTTTAATGTTTCAAGGTTGACAAAATGTTTGAAAATGATTTCTTTTTAACTGCTTAAAGCTTTTCAAACTGTATCTTAATACATTCACTAGCAAATACTGTGGGGAAAAACTGGACAGCAGTTAGCTGAACTATTTTTTCTGAGGCATGGCCTCTGATGTTCAAGTTCTTCAATGTCAAATGTGCAATTAAGATGCCTTTTAGCCCTTTCAACTTACTGCCAAACACCAGGTTAATGATGTGGTTAAAAAGTTGTTATAATTTTAGGACATGTTTGAACTGGAAGGCTTAAGTTAATCAGGCATAGTTTTCTCTTTTCTAATTAAAATTCCAACAAAAGACCTGTTTCACATGTGGTAGGTACAAAAAGCCTCTGAAATAGTGTCAAATTTTATGTGTGTCTTGAAGGTTAAAGACATTTAAAGCAAATACAAGCTGTGAAATTGCACCATGAAAAGAATAGATTTCTTTTTTTTTATCTTAATAGTTCATGAATAAATAATTTTTTTGTGATATTAGCCAAGTTGATCCTCATACTGTTTTCGAAAGCAGTCCCCTGCTGGGAAAAAATCCCAACATCTTTCTTGGTACATCTTCCACACAAATGACTCCTGAAAATGAGAAAGTATTTATTTTAACAGTCAGCATACAGTTAGTGCCATAGAAAAATTTTTAAATTTTTAAAAATAACCACATACTGTGCCTATTTCCATGGAATAGAACTGTAAAGGCACTGGAACTCTGAAGATCATAACTGAAGAATGTTTGTAAAAGTTTTATCTGCACTTTTCCTGATTCAGTACTACTGAAATTTAAATCTATTAGTAAAATACGTAAGTGTAAATTAATCAGTCCAGTTAGAACAAACCTATTCACAATCTGTATATATAAAATGTGTTTTGCATTGATTGGAAAACAAAGGTACTTTTGTACTCTATGCCTAACAACTTCTTATTAGAAATAAGATATAATTAAATCCTATTTATTTTCTTATATATTTACATTTAGACTTAACAATGCTAAACATACAGACATCCATATACCTATCTATCTACACATATGTATGGATTTTTGCTATAGAAATAGTACCTTAACTGCCTAAATCTTTTGGGAATAAACTGTAACTGGTACATTTGAGGTTTTCGTTTCAAAGATGACAGTAACATTACTAGTACCTGAATTCTGACAGCGTTCACTGCTCAGTAAAATAGCACACTGCAGCGCCCCACCCCCCTCTGGTTTTGTTTTAACCCTTCTTTTCTTTCACTGGCAGTAGGCCTTTTGAGGGTGGCATCATCCACACTCCTCAGTGGTACATCAGTTCCACCTGGTGGTACACAGCTACAGGGCTCAAGAAGATAAAAATGTTTAAAGATAAGAAAAACCATTAAGTTTTATTTTCTACTCACCTGGCCAGTATGCTCAGTTTCATCCTTGTTAATTAGATACATTAAGAAGAACCTGAAACAAGCACATGAAGCAGGTATTAATGCAGGAAACATAACATCTCTGCCTGACCTTTTGTAGCCTGGGGTGTGTGAGGAAGCTTGCCTCACGCTATAAGCAGTGACACTGCTAGACATGTAAAGTGCCTTTAAGGCACTTTTAAGGGATAAAATTATGTCCTGAAGCATATCTCCTGTGGAAGTGCTAACAGATAAAAAATCTGTAGAAGTAGAAAAATATGGCTTAGCATCTTATTCATTTCAGTGTGAGGAGCAATACCTGAATTAGGCATATGCCAAATCCTATGCACGTATGCTCCAACATCTCACCTTGGAAAAGGTTACAATGGCTACTATGTGAGAAATGTGGTAAATACTGAGCTACACCAGGAATTCCAAACATTTGTGCCATACAGCTCGTAAGCTGAGCCTCTCCTTCTCCAACACCTATGCTCTGTCAGACGTTGAAAGCTTGAACTATTTAAGGAGGACTGTAGAGCACTAACTAAGGTCTGTTTACAGGTAACACAGCTCTTGGTTGGACAGTTTGGATGCAGTGCATTTGGAATTAGATTTAGTACGTGCTTTTGTTGTGAGGAAAGGAAAGTACACTGACTTTAACAGTTGTCTAATTAAAGGGCAACCTGGGTAAAAAGATCGTTCACTATGTATTCTAATATTAAGGAAATGGCCGCTTTTAATTTACTGTGAATTAGAGGTTCCCATGTACCAGTTAAGCAGTTCAATATAGTAAGAAAAGCTTGGTGGTTGTAGACTGTAAAACCATGGATGTTAATGGAAATTTACATCATGTAAGGCAATTGATTTTGCCAATGTCAGTTGCTGTGCAAAGAATAAGGCAGCCTCCACTCCAAGAGCCACACTTTCTTTTTTTTTTTAATTTAAAAAGTTCAGATGCAGTGTTGCAAAGTCGGTCTGCTGTAAGAGTCCACCGGCTCAGTTCCTTTGGTTTTGTTGGCACAATGCTCATGTAATTATCTTCGTTGTATTAGTAACTAATACCACCAAATTAACTTTTTAAATATCCTCTTTGGTCTGCTCTGTATTTGCTAATGAAAGTGGAAAAGCACTGTCTTGGTAGTCTGGGCAATAGCCTAAACATTTACAACTCCTGATTGCTTCAAAGTTTGAAGAGCTTCACTGTCACTAAAGAACTATGATCAGAGTTATTTATTTACTGGCGGTTATCTTTCAATAACCTTCAAAAAATGCCTTTTTTTGCTTTGTTTTGGTTTGGGGGTTTTTTTTGGCCAAATCAAGGCCAATTTTCAATGGTCTCATCAGCGTTACCAAGCCCCCAGAAGGCACAACCAAAACTTCCAGACTAAAGCAACTCATTAAACTGTTGTCCCCCATCTTTCCACATATCTGGGTTTCCTTTCAGCAGAATAAGAAGTTGGTCTGCCTTCCAGTCTCATTCTACTAAGGTAACTTGTGTGTAAGGTAAGCACTTCAAAGATCACCAGCAGTGTGGAGTAGAGGAGGGGAGACCAGAAAGGACAGGAGATATTCCTCAGTTCTACGGAATTCTGTCTTGGAACTTTCAGCAATGTGTGCACCTAAATTACTCTAGACCTGAAAAATTTTACTACAATTCCAGCTGTAAAATGTACTTACAGATAGTTCGCCAAGTTGTGTTCTTGCAAAGTATGTGTTTCAAAGCCGTGGGGGGTTGTGTCAAAATAGTCATTGCCGATTCCACAAATAAAACATTTGGTCTGAAAACACAAGTTGCGGTTACAGATGAATTTTAACTCAAACACTATTTTAATTGGTGATAATCTAGATGAATGAGAGTAATGAAAAATGTAATGTGCTTCCTACCTCCATGTCTTCCCTCACTTGTTCTTGCTGGTCTCTTAATTCACCAAAAGCATCAATAATCAGACCTATTTCAAATTGAAAAGTAGCAACAGTTCGGTACTGAGCAATATTCATATTGAAAATAATGTCAGTCCTCCACTGTCTAGAGTTTACTGTACTTATGTCTAGGTTGAACAATTCAAGTTACAATCTATCAATTTCCAGACACCCAATGTTTTTTTATACTGCACTCCCAGCAGTAATTCCTATTACATGGAGGTACAATCTTGAAAGTGAAAAGGCTTTTCTGTCCTTTATTACAGTCAATTTAACCTTCCATAAGCTCATCTCTTTTGTCCCATAAATGAAATCAATTTTCACTCCTTTACTCATGAAACTCTCGTATCCCAACTCTTGTTCAACAAAGACAGCTCTGCTCCCAGAGCCCCCCTTGGCCAGTTTCTGAGGCTGCTTCGCATTTGAAGCATTACTCTTGCACTTCCAACATATTAGGATTAGAATCGGATCATTCTGGGGACTGTGAATGCGTTACATTTTTTCTTTGCCACCAGATGGGTGTTTTCCTAACAGCCTGAGGTCAGTTCATGCAATGAATGGTTGAATGCTGACTGTCACTGAGGAGAGGTCTCGTTCACTGTGAACCAAAACTGCAAACCAATTAACCCTACAAATCGTCCTCTAAAGAGAGGAGGAAATAGTTGTGTGGCCATGGTGACTTTCTTCATGTCATTTACCCTTTTCAAGGGAAAGTCTCCATTCCCCAGCCAGCTGTAGGCGGTTCCAAGCTGAAAGTCTTCAGCAAGCCTCTCCAAGTTTAAATGGTAATTATAGGAAGAACAGTGATCCTGCACAAGCTGCATCATCTGTGACCCTTAACTGAGGTTACAAATCTTGTGCTTTGACTTTGTGTAGTACTTGGGACAAGGCATTATTTATGAATTAAGTCTAAAATTATTACTTTCAGAATTAATGATTTTATCAGCTCAGAAATAAGTCTTTGTAGCTATACTGCTAAATTTACCTCAAACATAATATGGTTTACATTACTGAGCTTCATTAAATTAATTTTGAACAGTTCTCTACTAAGGTAAGTGATGTTACCTTGAATAATGGCCAGTAGGATAACAATGACAAAGAAGAAAAATGTGATGTCAAAGACAATTCGATACATTTCATAAGGGTCTCCAGCAGGATCCTCAATTTCATCTCCAATGCCACCACCAGCTCTTACACCCACATACATGTGGAACAGGTAACACTAAAAAAGAGAGGAAGATTTGCAGATATATTTACCATTAATTACTCTGAGGTTTTTTTTTTCTTTTTTTTTTTTTTCAATTATTCTGCTCTGCTAATTCTCTTCACAAGTTATAGTAACAAAGAATAGTTACAAAGAACACATAATATCATTCCTCATGTATCACACACAGTGCGCCAAAAATCTGTTCCTGTCTTACCTAATGTGATTCCACCTTCAGATACACTTAAGAGCAGGAGTCAGCATCAGCTGTTACCCACTCCTCACTCCCTGGGTCTTATGTTCAGACTGAGACCATTTGGGAGCATTTTTCTTGTATTATTTACTGTATTCAACTATATTCTACTCCTTAAATTGATTCCTAAGGTTCTACTTTGCTCTGAGTGTGCAGAGGACATCTTCTAAAGTCTTGCAATGAAGTTTAGAAATGTGGGAAAATATTGCCATAAAAGAAATAGTGACATATTCACAAAAGTATTTAGGTGGTTTCTGGATAATTTAATTTTGCAATACTAGGTGTCCAGTTTAGTATATTGGAAATTAGTTGTGATATGTGAAACAGCCTGTGTTCAGTTCAGTGCAGAAAAAATAACTTTACAAAAATGTTGCTGTGTGTCATATTTTTCGAACATATAAATCTTAATGGAAAAATCTTTAAAAATCTGTATATTTAAGCTGTGAAAGTATATTAGAATGGAATCTTCTGCAGGAGTGATATACTACTGATGTTCCTGTATGAATTGGCTACAGAATCTTGTAATCACCTTCAGCCACACATTGCGGCCTAAAAACAACTTAAATCTCTAAGCCCAGCCAGTTTTCCAAAGTCACATTAGATGGCAGTGGGTATTAAATAACCAGTATAAAACCTGACATAAGCAAACACTAAACAGAACTATACATCCATTTTTATAATGCAGTTTTACTGTCGACATAAGATGCTGGTACCAGTCTAATCATACTTACAAATGTAACTTGGAATTGATTTACTGCACTTAGGAGAGTGGTTTAAAATGTAATATGGTTTCATTATTCCAATTACTCCTACACCTATTTTATGACCAGACCATTGTATCCAGCTCACAAAGGGACCAGTTTGGGCAGTTTTCATAATTTCTGCAATTTACATGTCTGACTCACACTGAGTATTTAAAAGAAAGTTCAAGAATGGGGAAGATCATTCTGTGAAGTCTATTATACACCTCTGTTCTGAGGTATTTTATTCTGTCTTTGGTGTATAACACAGGGCAGAGAGTTACTATTCCATGGAAGAAATCAGCTGGCCACAAATTCGGAATATTACATTTGTGATACCTGAATTTGTGTTTCTGTATGCAATGAGAAAATCAAATCCTCTTCATACCATCTGTAGAATATATTTTATTATTACATAAATAACATTCAGTGGCAATGGGTAGAAATCAGATGGTAAGTTGGTAGCATAAGATCATCACCCATAATAATTTGTAATTTCCACTTTCTCATCCTTGACTTCTTAATTAATAACTAAATTACTAATTGTAATTTTGGAGCAGGCTTTTATAACTAGTGCTAATAACATCATATAATGCATATAATCTAAATAATGCTTGTCCACATGCAAGCATTGGGAACAAATAGGGTTTATTTGGGTTGTGACAGCACAGCATCTTTTTCCAGATCTGACTAGTTTGTCAAGAAATTTCTTCCACATACTTTGAGGGTTTGCCATCCTCACCTCTAAAAGCATTGCAGCAAATCATGTGCTATAGTATTTGGGAGAAAAATCCAGAATATCTTCCTATATGTCATCTATTTGCTGTTTTGTTTAGAGCGCTGGAGAATGCAGAGGGAATTTTAAGACCATTCATATTTTCAAAATTACATATATCAAGAAGAACAGACCCATGGATTTAACAACAAAAACATCCATCCTGGCTTATCATTCTATTTTAAGTATGCATTTGAAAATTCAGGATGACATTTGAAGCATGCAAGTGATGTTTTAGTTACCGTCATCATGTCATCACATTTCATGTCTGGTTCATCTTCATCTTCACTTTTGTTGTAGAATTTGCGGAAGAAGTTGAATGCCACAACAGTGTAAAGGTACACTACTACAGCGAGGAGTCCCACAGTAAGAACAAGCTGTGTGTGGAGACATGACATGAAAGTAGGTTTCAATTTCATTTTGTCAGAAGAGAAATGCTAGCTTGATGTATTGCCTTAAATATTGAAAATGGATCATATTGTACCTTTCCCAAAAACTAAAGATAGCAGTTACGATAGCTTTGAAGTCTCCCTGTTGCTTGGATCACCATGGAGCTGTTACTTTGCCCTGCTCTCATGAAAATCAAAGGGAAAAACAGTACCAAAAGACTGGAGTTGTTTCCATCTTTCTGAGCTATATGCATGCAAACTGTATCATTGAAGCAATGTTTAGTTTAAAAGTTAAATTTAGTAACTTGGAACACTGGATATACAGTAAAAATTAAATGTTTAAAATAAACCCCTTTCTATAATTTGATAAATAATTTCAACTAGGACTTATTGGGACCTACAATGACTTATCATAGTCTGTTTTCTGTTCCAAAGCTGGTTAGCAATCCATTGATAAAGCGGATGGAAAATTTTTTAGATAACCAAAGTGTAATTAATTTCCAAGTCCTGCTTTTAAGCAAATAAAACCCTTAGGTGAAAATGTTCAGCAGTTAATGAGACTAGATTATATTGTTTATTGGAGTTGGTGTTAGAAGATACGGCCCTGGAGAGGAGTTACTGAAAGCTATGTATTTTAAAAAATGCAATAACTGGTATTGCTCTTCTAAAAGAAACATGAGAGTATTGAACAACAAGCTCATCATTTTTCACTTTGAGCAGATCTCAAAGTGAACATTTCAATTCAGGAATCTGCAGCTGTCTTTCAGTGTTCCTATCTACTAGCAAGAAAAGCAACAGGATTAGAAAAACTAATCTTTGCTTGTAAAGAATTTAAGTAAAAGCCATGGTCTTGAGTTGAAAGTTTTGTCAACTGTGCTCAGTTTTGGCTATTACATTTAAAAAAAAACTCATAAAGAAAATATATCAAGCATTATATTAAAAGTAATATGATTTTTGTCATCCTGAAGTAAAATGAAAGGAATAAAACTAGAGATTTAATTTGTTTTTGTGATGATACACATCATCACATTGTATGGGGATATTCTTATGCCTCTTCCAAAACATCATGTAATTTAAAATGTTTTGACAAGCATAGCAGGGTGTAAGAGTGGGCTTAGAATATATGTTACTGCAGTTGAGAAGGAATGGAATGTGTATGTTTGAAATTAAACTTTGGGGAAGTTCTGTTGGATTTCCTAAATGTAAATTAAAAAGTAACTGTAAAGCTTGGTTTTTGTTGTTACGCTAGCTAGGAATATAGAGTCCTCAGAGATCAGAGAATGATTACCTGCACAAATTTCAACAATTAGTTTTGGAAGTACATTTTATTAAACTGATTTTTGCATGACAAAGTGACACATAAATGTACTCCACAGTGCAGCCTGCCCACACCTTTGAGGACATTCTTACTAGGTAAGTATTGAAATTTCAGCACCCAGGTCATTATTACTGCTGTAGCTAAGGAGAAATTGGGAAATCCTGTTATTTACCACCAATCAGTTCATCATT